GGGGGGGCAGGAAAAAGGAGCCGGGCCAGGAAGCGGGGCCCCTCCGACGGGGCGGGGGACACGGAGCTGTGGGGCGGGGAGGGGCAGAGCAAAGGGGGTGCGGGGCCACAAGCGAGAGGGAGCGGTGGGGGGGCGTGGTGGGGGGCAGTGAGTGGGGGAGGGGGGTAGTGGGGGGATGCAATGTGGGGGGAAGGGGTGCGATAGGGAGGCATGAGGGAGGGAGGGGCACAATGTGGGGGGCTGTGAGGGGGAGGGGGAACGGTGTATGTCAGGGCAGGGGGCGCAAGAGGGGCAGTGGGGGATGCAATGTGTGGGGGGTAGGGGTGCGATGGGGGAGGCGTGAGTGGGGGAGGGGGCAGGGCCATGATATGGGGAGCAATGCATGGGGGAGGGGCACCGTTGGGCAGCAAATGTGTGTGAGGGAGGGGCATGAGGGGGGTGGGGAGGACACGGGATGTGGGGGGCAGTGGGTGGGAGGGAGAGGGCACTGTCTGGGGGACGGGGCAGTGGGGGAAGGGATGCAGTGTGGGGGTGAAAGGGGGAGCAGTGTGTGTGTGTGGAGAGGGACACAGTGTGGGGGGGCAGGGAGGGGATGCACTGGGGCTGGTCCGGCCTGTGCCAGCCAGCGTCCCCACTAGGGCTTCGCAGCGCCTGGGGCTCCCCAAACCCAGCCTCCAGGCTCGCGGGGGATCTCCTCAGAGGGAGCGCTATGGGGACTAGGACACTTGGACTCCAGAGCCAAATTATGCAAGAAGCGGGTTTATTGTGGGTCTGTGAGGAGCCAGCGAGGTCAGTCGCCACAGGATGTGCCGGAATGGGCAGGGCCTCGCCACAGGGCGGGGCCTGGGGGGTCTGCCTCTCCCCCAGCACCCCCAGGTGCAGCTGTGCCTAGATCCTGCCAGCGAAGGAGCCGTCGTCCCGCTGCTCATCCCAGCGCTTCACCTGGCAGAAGGGAAACGGGGTTAGGGGTGGGGGCCATACCCAGATGGGCAGCTCCACACAGAGCAGGGCCTAGCCCTCCCAGCAGGGGGCAGCAGGGCCCCCCCACAGAGCAGGGCCCAGCCCCTCTCCCAGCAAGGGGCAGAGAATGGGGCAGGGGGTCTTTCCCCTGGGGGTACTGGCTCCCATCCAGCCCCAGGGCAGGGGACTGACTGGCTCAAGAGGGTGGAGGATAGGGCCTGGGACCTTTTCCCCTCCTCTCCCACTGAGTGCAGAGTGGGGGGTACCCCTGGGGTCCTGGCACCCCACATACCCAGGAGATGGGGCACAGGGACTTGTAGACCCGGTAGTACCACTGGCATGGCCTGGTGTCCTTTCCCTTCGCCCCCAGTGTCTTCAGGCAGCGGTAATAGTCTGCAGGGAGACAGCACGTGTTACCCTCTGCCACCACAAGGAGGCGCCAGTGAGCCAACCTCACCACCCTGCCCCTCATAGCCAATCCCTCCCCACAACTACCCCACTCTCCTCCCAGAGCCAGGGGGAGAACCCAGGAGTCCTGGCTCCTAGTCCCCCTCTCCCCCCCCGAGGGCCCTCTGCCACTCACCCAGGTAGTTCTGGTAGCAGTTGCGGGTCTGGTTTGTGTTGGGGAAGCGGGGGTCGAAGGGGGCCGTGCGGTAATACCCCCGGGACCCCTCAGGGACGCCCTTCTCCCCCCCGCCGGCTCCATAGGAGCTCTGCATTCTTGAAAAAAGTAGGCAGGTGAAAGTGGAGAGGCTGGACTGCTCTAACCGCTGGGCCTCACTCCCCTCTCAGAGCTGGGCTGGAACCCAGGAGTCCTGGTTCCAGCCCCCGCTGGGCCACCAGACCCCATTTCCCGCCCAGAGCCAGGGAGAGAACCCAGGAGTCCTGGCTCCCAGCCCCTCCGCTCTGACCGCTGGCCCCACTCCCCTCCCAGAGCCAGGGAGAGAACCCAGGAGTCCTGGCTCCCAGCCCCTCCGCTCTGACCGCTGGCCCCCACTCCCCTCCCAGTGCTCGGGCTCACCTGTGTCTCACCCCCAATGCCCCAAGCTAGTAAATTCAGTTGCTTTGGGTTTCTAAAGGGAGAAAGAATAAAATGGGGGGTGACCTTTCCCTCTGGCCCCCAGGGCTGCTGATGGGATCTGGCCCCGACCCTCCCCCAGCCTGCGGCCCCCCACTGCTGGATCCCTCCCCGACTCCCCCGGCTGTCAGGATCCCCCCATGAGTAGTCCCTGGTCTGCACC